ATTTTATCATTACTGAATTACTTCTTATGAAATACAGTATTACTGGGAGTGTGTGTCAGGATCGTCCTACTCGCGTGTAGGACCCTGGCAGAGACACATGCCCGACTGGCATGTTCTCTCCCTCCTGGTCAGTCAAAAGCTTTCTCCAGCCCAAACATCACAGTGACTGATACCAAAGGGCATCAGCACGCTTACGGAACCTGCAGAGTATTAGCGGTTTGCATAACAAACTCAGCAGCACAGCAGTTCGGCTGATCTACTTTTATTTACATATAATACACTCGGAGCATTCTGACTTAGCTCCTTCCTCTTTCTCATCAGACAGCAAAGAGAAAGAACAAAGGACAATAGTCCCACAACACAGAAACACAGTAACACAAACATCCTGTCTCCATCACTTCCTACTATGTGGAATGAAAACATACACTGTCATGTGACATAAAACAATCCCATGACTGCAAGCACAGAACAAAAATCCTAACATGGGGAGGGGGGGAATGGAAAGACTTGGAGACTGTGGTTGGCTACTTCCCACAGCTATATTTGTGATTGTTACACTTTTATCAGCATCTTGAAAATGTTCTGCAGTAGTTTGTAAGGGCTCATATGAAATTGACCACTTCTAGAAAACAAGAGGAAGGCTTCTCTGTGTAAAGGAGGCATTACTGAATATGGCATGTGGCTTTGGCAGAGAACCTAACTTGGAGCTGTAGGATGGCTAGAGGCGAAAGGACACATTTTCTGAAATATGGTTTCCGTTTACTGCGTATGTTCACTTCAGTGGCAATGTGCCGTGGTCCCCAGCCTCTCAAGTGTATTTCTGGATAGATTCGCTCATGAGATAAATTACTGCTAGTGCTAACCTGTTATGGACTATATCGCTCCTTACCTGCTTTTTCTGCAGGCATGGCAAAAGAATGGTAAAAGGTAACGAACTGGACACAATCTAATCATGTGCTTCCCAGTATTTTTGAATGCACAAATATTGATAGACTTCATCAAGTATGACTAACAAGCTTTTGCTGATCTTATGTGAATGTGCAGCCTCATTCTGTGAAGTTGCTTGAAAATACAAGCTCTGGTAAACATTTTCAAAATATAATGATGTACAGAGAGAACATACACCATATGGTAAAAGTTACTTATGATAAGCAAGTACAGTGGTGCCTCGCAAGACGAATATAATCCATTCCGCGAGTCTCTTCGTCTAGCGGTTTTTTCGTCTTGCGAAGCAACCCTATTAGCGGCTTAGCGGATTAGCACTATTAGCGGTTTAGCGGCTTAGCGGCTATTAAAGGCTTAGCGGCTTAGCGGCTAAAAGGCTATTAGCGGTTTAGCGGTTTAGAAAAGGGGGGGCGAGCGAAAAAAATCGCAAGACTCGCAAGACGTTTTCGTCTTGCGAAGCAAGCCCATAGGGAAAATCGTCTTGCGAAGCAACTCAAAAACGGAAAACCCTTTCGTCTAGCGGGTTTTTCGTCTTGCGAGGCACCACTGTACACGAAAACTGCAGCTGTATCTTAAATAAAATCAACCATGTTACATACACAGTATTGGTATACCGAAAGGATGGGTAACCTGTGGCCCTCCAAGTGTTGTTCAACTCCAGCTTCCATCAGCCCTAGCCATCATGGCCAATGGTCAAGGATGATGGGACTTACAGTCCAAAAAATGTCTGGAGGGTCTTGGCTTCCCCATTCCTAAGCTAAAGTATCAAATCTATATTTTAGTCCCTGGAGAAGTTATATCAGTCTCTCTCACTAGGGGGCAGCAACATTTCAAACAGGTATGTTCTCTCACTTTCTTCTACACCATCTTTTCTACATATGGCCACCAGATGCAGGCAGTAGCTGATTTTTGCTAAGCATCCAGTGACAGAAGAGCAGTCAACAATTCTTTATCTAACCACTTTTTTAAAAAAGTACATGAGGAGATGAAAGAAACATTTGCCTGCCGGCCAGTCACATCATAGTATTCCAAGTTGCTTACGGCAGTTCGCATGGGGATTTTTATCCTCACAAAATGCCTAGAATGTAAGTTAAGCTTCCAGATCATGATTAGGCCAAAGTCACCAAGGGAGTTTCATGGCTGAGCAGGCATTGGTCAAATGCTATAACCCTATGTGAGTAGGCCCCACTGAATTCAGTAGGATGTCAGCATGGGCATAGCCAGGATTTTTGTGGGGGAGGCAAGCTTTTGCTAGGGGTGGGCAGAACCTCAGATTTGTATTGATTTCTATTGATGTTTATTGATGGGGGGCAGATGTCCCCCTCCCTCCCCCCTTGGCTACGTCCATGTATGTCAGATACTCTGCCCACCATATCTCACTGGTACAGTGGTACCTTGGGTTACAGACGCTTCAGGTTACAGACTCCGCTAACCCAGAAATAGTACCTCAGGTTAAGAACTTTGCTTCAGGATGAGAACGGAAATCGCGCAGCGGCAGCGCGAGGCCCCATTAGCTAAAGTGGTGCTTCAGGTTAAGAACAGTTTCAGGTTAAGAACAGACCTCCAGAACGAATTAAGTTCTTAACCCGAGGTACCACTGTACTCATGTGCTGCTGGTGATTAGAAGCTCCTCCAAGGATTACAAGACAAAGAAGCAGCATCCCAAATACAAACAGCCAGATAATTGCAGAACTGTAATTGTCAAATGGGAAAGAAAAGCTGGCCCTGATAACATTCAAGCAGAGTGAAGTTATGAATAGAGACAGCCCAGCTTTGTGTGGAACAAACAAGTTTTTACAGAGTTTTCAACTCTTGCTGAAGGTTTTTTAAAATATGTTTTGCTCTTCTGCTTTATTTTCCATTCTTAGTTTTACCTGAATTTAGTTTGGAGCTTGTTTTAATTATGCTGTATCACATTTATTATACTATTCTATTACTGTTGTTGTTGTTTACCTGTTTGCCCTTTTTGTGTAAGTGGACCTGAGATTTTTTTTTTATTTGGTGGCCTATGAATATTGCAAATTAAGACAACCACACACTTTCGGTGCACTTTTAAAATACTATTATACTACAGATCCAGGCGCAGCAATCCAAAGCCCCAGCCAGGAGCCATTGGGTGGAATGGGGGTGGGGGGCAGATTCACTGCCGAATGAGATTCATTTGAAACCAGGTAACAGCCAGGCAGATGGGAGGAAGAGGAGGAGGAGGAGGAGGTTACTTTATCTTTATTACTACACTTGCTCCAGGCTGCCTGGCTTTCACTAAGAGCAGAGGAAGCCTCCACAGGGCCAAAGGAATACCTTTTTCTGTTCATAAACCCCCAGATTGAGGGCTAGTGCTGTACTGTAAGACACCAGTTCAGGTTCCGAATATCTTATCAAGTTATTTAAGTTTGGTGAAACAACCATTTGCGCCGGGGACGACCATATTCTCTTAGGAAAACACTGTCTTTGGCATTCATGATGAGCTGCCTCATTTCTCTGTAACATTTATAAAGCTATAGCACATCTTCAGCTATCTAGCCTGTATCCAATGATCCTTGAAATTAAATTTAAATCATGTACATTTGGTACTTTTTACCCTTGCTGTAGAAAGTGGAGAGGAGAGGAGAGGGTGGGAGGCAACAGGCTTATTTGTCATAGAAAAAGTCTGAGGATGTCTCCACTGGTTATTTTTCAATTCCTGTTAATCAAATATATCTATCTATATATTTATTTTTTACTTCCCATTTGCCTCCACTTTTAAAAAAACCAAAGTAAAAATCACAGGGCAATAGGAGTCATTGGCAGGATTTGCGGGCACATATATGCTGATGAGGAAGGTTGTTTAACAATAAGGAGATTTGCTTCAATTATGCTGAACCACAAATATATCCACTTTGCGGCTGCAGTCGCCAGCTGGTTTTAAATGGTAAATGCTATACACATACCATTCAATTTATCTTTTTCTCTAGCAGCTAAGAACTATGGTACAGAGCAGGGTTCAGATAGTCAGCAGGAGTAAGAGTAGGAGAAATTCATTTGCAGGTGCTTGAATGTCATCTACAAAGAACTTTCTAATAATTGAAGTGACCTTCCTCCTCCTTTCAGCACAAGGACTAGAGATTAAGCATAAATGGCTCTGTTTTCTGATAGCAGAAGGGCAATATGAAACAGAAAAGCAGCAGTGGGTGGGTGAGGGTGTGCTTAATGCTTTCCCCAACTAGCATGTTTCTGTTCTATATTCCTGCTGGAACTGCATTTCCTTCTGAGGCCCCAAGCATGTATTTATCCCTGCAAATGTTCCTTTGGAAATCTGCTGTGGTGTTGGGAAGTTCTTGGAAGAAATGATTTGGAGAAGTGCTATAATGGATCACAAGCAGAAAGCAGACACAAGCGTAGCGCACTGTTTCAAGGTGCCCACAAAATAGATGACAAGCTTCAAGAGGGGAAGGGAGGACAACCTAGCTGAAATTCCATGCCAGTCTCTGATACAACAAACAACTTGACTAGATAGCCAAATCCAACCATCAACTTCCTCTGATTTTGGGGTCAAGATTTCCTGTTTATTGAAAACACCCTTTTCCTGACCTCCAAGTATTTGTGGAGCCATAACTGTTCCCTCCCACCACATGGCAACAAATCTAAAAATATCAGTGTCAAATATTCAATCCAAGCTCACTTCCTAAATGTTATGAATAGTGTTATTTTGTGTCATTTGCTTACATATGAAAATTTATCAAATTTTCAAAGCAGGAAACAAATGAGACCAGAAAACCATCTGAACTCTGCTAGATCCAGAAACACATACAAAAGTTAAAATAAACTCCATGTATGGTAATTTCTGTGGAGATTCATTAGACTACGAACTGTATTATGGGAGAGTCTGTGAGAACACTCCAGTCAAAGTAAAGTGCATTTGAAGTTGATTTGATTTCAGTAAGACAAATGCACATGTTTTAAATGCTTACTTTTGAATACATCACGCCTTGTATTTCCAACTGTTTTTAAAAGCTAGATAGATATTCTACTTTTGAGAGTACAATACAGATCAGAATAACATATACTTCACATACCTTTCTCATTGCTATTTGATAGAAGGGATGGTGGGCTTGTGGGTTTGGATTTGTCGTAGTTGTTAAAGCTCTGGCTGCGCCGGTTGTTGGCATTAACTGAACTACGAGTTTTTGCTTCGCTGCCTGCAGCTGAAACTCTCGTAGGACCTGGAAGTCTGTTTTTGGGGTTAAAAAAAAAGAAGAATAAGCAAATGTTTCCCTAAAGCACATGAATGAATTCAAGTTAAACACAGTCAAATTGGAGGAATGTTTACCTCCCGTAAAAGGCAACTTGCCAGGTGAAGATCTCCGTGTGTGCCCTTTTGTTTACATGGAGCTCCAATGAAAGGACTTTCCTTGTTACTTTAATGGAGAGAGCAGTTCTGTGCATGCAAATAATCTGTCCATGGAACTTGAGTATTGAGTCAATGGAACTTGAGCTCTTGAGTATTGGAGCATCCACTAAAATGTAGCCCAGAATGACTTGGTATCCAATCTATGTCATTTTGGAAGCTTAAAGGTAAAGGTAAAGGTACCCCTGCCCGTACGGGCCAGTCTTGACAGACTCTGGGGTTGTGCGCCCATCTCACTCAAGAGGCCGGGGGCCAGCGCTGTTCGGAGACACTTCCGGGTCACGTGGCCAGCGTGACAAAGCTGCATCTGGCGAGCCAGCGCAGCACACGGAAATGCCATTTACCTTCCCGCCAGTAAGCGGTCCCTATTTATCTACTTGCACCCGGGGGTGCTTTCGAACTGCTAGGTTGGCAGGCGCTGGGACCGAGCAACGGGAGCGCACCCCGCCACGGGGATTCGAACCGCCGACCTTTCGATCGGCAAGCCCTAGGCGCTGAGGCTTTTACCCACAGCGCCACCCGCGTCCCTTTTGGAAGCTTGACTAACTGCAAATGATTTTTGAAAAGTTATGCTATAAGGTTGCCTCAGTGGATTCAGTTATCTTAGTGGATTCAGGTGCCAGTCAATTTCCAGTTGATCTTCATGCCCACTGCCTAGTTGATTTTAATGCCCCCAAAAGGTCACCATATTAGACTTGGTGTTTCCCAGTTGGAACCTGGATAGTGTGCCTAACTGAATGTTGCAGAGGTCATCTACTTATGAAAATGCTTGATACATTAGTTGGGAAACATTTTTTCTTAGCTGAATTTCACAAACTCTGAGATGTCAAAATAAACCGTTAGCCTGTATGGGTCTAGATACACTGGCTGTAACATTGCACATGGTTGCGTTGCCTTAAATCACATTGGGTGATATCCAGTTGTGCCCATTGCTAGTGGAGCAGACTTTTGCTCATGCAGTGAGATGTCCCTTCCTAGCCTATCCCCAAAAGTCTCTCTGAGTCTGCAACCACCAATTCTGTTTGAGAGGGGTAGGAGATCCTCTGGGCCATATCTGGGGAAATGTGGAGGCTGCAGGAGAAGGAGAGGAAGGGGAAACCAGCTTGTACAACACTGGATATAACCCATTGATTTCTACCAGGTATAACTACTATATGTGCTTGATTACAGCCCTAGGCTACAATTCAGAGAATCAAATCCTTGCATAAGCCCATTGACAAGTATGCACATGAAACACGAGCTAGCAAGGCTCTTTTAGCTAGCAATATGCATTCCATTCCAAAGGCCCAGAGCACAGCGTTTCCATGCAGGGCCCCAGATTGTAGCCATGCAACATAATCCAAAACCTCTCAATTCAGAAATCAGTATGCTTAGAATTTCTGCCTTATTTTTGAAGCGGTCATTTGATCAAATCTATACTGGGCAGTAAAACTCAAACAGTGCACTAGATGGAATGTTGCAGAATTTTTTGAACATAATACTGTGTGGTGGTCCTTTTTATTCTAAGGCTTAAAAAATAAAAATAGCTCACTTTGGTACAATCTGCCTAGATTTCCCCCCACCCTGCACCAGCTCATCATACAGGTTGTTATCACAGTGGCTTGTGCAGGAGTTCCCAGTGGCCAATGGCTTTATAGTAGCAAATTATTTACCCCATTGTTTTCATGAATTATAATATTATTCAATAGCTTACATTTCCCCCTTTACTTGCTCAATACAGAACTCAAAAAATGCTTGAAGTAAACCATAAAACCAATAGGCTAAAACCAATTGCAGCATTGATTCGTATACAGTTTCCTGAAGGCAGAATTCCCATCTGATTAGCAACATTACAAACCTTTGGTACTTGAATGGCACTTTTAGAGCTGGGAAGAAAAGAGGATTAGTGATTTCTTCCCAACAAATTCATAAGATTGATCAGAAGGAGGATAGATAGGGAGAAGAAAAGAAGCACATAAGTCTCAGCAAATGCATGCACATGCTTTCAAAGCGTAAAGCTGGCAAGTTTGCACGCAACCCATTTAGTTCCACATCACCACAGACCACTAAAACATAGAACTGTGTAAAGTTTGCTTCCTTGCTTTCCCAAAGGCAGACTCTTCTGCTCTCAAGTGCATGTGAAATAAACCTAGGAAACCAAAGCAAGAGGAACGCTGGAAAGTTTCACATAGCAGTCATCACAAAGACACAACCAACCAACCCCGGATACAGAAACAACCCACAGAAAGGCTACAGAGGAAGGCACAGAGGAACCCAGGGTGAAAGGCTAGGGAAAAATAAGGTTCTTTTTCACTTTCCATGCTTTTGTGTAAGATTTGACACTGACATGGCAATGACATTCATGCAGAGCTCATGCTGGTTGAAAGGTATAGAGAAAAAGTGTTGAAGCATAATCTTTTTACACAAAAGGGACATTTCCCCCTAGTCTTTATCTTCCCCCATGGCTTCTAGGATATTTGTTTGTCTTCCTAAAAAAACATATAAAGTGTTCTCCCACTAGGAGAACCCAGACATGGACATTAAGTATGTGGCCAAACTTGGTAAATGTGTAGGAGTTACAAGCAAAAGAAGAGATAACATTTGACTACAGCAATGATGGAGAACTGAGATGTCAATCAAGTAGAGTGGAAGTGTTGACAATTCTCAAATATTCACCTGGTAAGGATAGTTTTGTTTTGCTTTTTGAACATCTCGCTTTTTGTGACATCTCTCTAAGTACCCCATCATTCAATGTTTTAAAGTGGGGGGACTATAGGAAGTTGCAGGTATATCCCAGTGAATTCTCAATAAAATAAAATTATCAGTAAAAGAAACCTGTATATCTCCTTTGCAAGGAGAAAAAAAGCTTGGAGAGATCAATTTGATCAGAAAAAAATAGACTGCACAAGGAGTTAAGTGCACAGCATCAGTAAAATTTGGCTCCCATCACTTCTACTTCTCTATCTCAGTCTTAAAATAAGTCAGCAGGTTACTCCTGCAAGGACTCATGTCTTGTCCAGTTTCTCTCTAAAACTGTGAAAGAAGTTGTTGATTGGAATGCTGAAATAGGTGAAAAGGCATGAATTGGTAAATAATTGAAATGAAGGAAGATTAAAAATCAGTGAAGGAGAGGGGATCCTGTACTAGTACCAAGGCAAAATTATGGAACAAAGAATGATTTAGAATAAAGGAATCTAAATCACAAAGTAAAAATAATATAGTATAGTTTGCGCACAAAACAGGATAAACCGTGGTGCCTTATATAGAGAGAGATGTTAGGGGTATTTCTAATGCAGCACAGCATGGTAAAAGTAGCATTCATCTCAAGAAAACCTAGGATGAATATCACAGGTATTAATAAAGATTAGAGTTGCATTTTTGAAGTGCTGCAGTGAGAAGCTCGTAGGAGTCAGAATGCATGTCAAGCTGTGGCTTAGAGCAAGACAAATGGGCTGAAACACCTACTATTCATTCTCAGAGAGATTAGATGTTCCCCAGTACAGGACACGGAGGAATCCAGAATAGAGACAACACGCCTATCTACGCTGCTGTGTTATATTATCTGATAGTAGTCATACTCATTACTCTTTTTCACCCATGAGAAAATAAGTTGGACCTTACAAGCGTAATCTATAAACAGAAATTAACAAGGAAGTTAGAGCAAGGGTAAGGGGAGAGTGTCCAAACACATTCATGTATTTATTTTTTCAAGATGGAAAATTCACAGGAATTGAGCCCCCTTCACACGTGAATTGCCGGAAGGGAATATAATGCAGTTAACTACGGAACGCACTGCATTGTTGCCCCAACCTAAGATGTCAACGAACGGCATGGACAACTGAACTGCCAGTGCTCATGCATTAGCTTCCTGGTGTTCAGCACTCAGATCACATGGAAGCCTCCAAACAAATAGCTGCTCATGCACAAGCTTTGTCAGTTCAGTCATCCAGGGACAGGGGCAGCACTGTGCAGCACAGAATGAAGATCACGTGATGCGCTCATCATGTGATTCACCTATGAAGGGGGCTATTATGCTACTACCTCCCAAACTAGCAATATGAAGTACAGATTTTAATTGTGAGTCATTTCAGGACATATACTGATGACATTGTTGTTTAAAAAAACCCACCATCCTCAGCCCCAAAGACAGGGAGGGGTATGATCAGGGGTCGGCAAGGTTTACCAGCCATGGTCTGGATCACTCCCATGGAGATCGTCCATGGGCTGGACTGGTGAAGCGCGACACTGGAAACCGTGTCTGTGCATGTCAGCGGCGCCGGAAATTGTGTCTGCACATGCCCAGATGCCGAAAATCGCTTCTGCACAGGCATGGTTTTTGGCATCTGAGCATGCGCAGAAGCAATTTCCAGCACTGTGGACATGAGCAGACGCAATTTCCGGCGTCACTCGGCATGTCCCCGCGCCATGATGCACCGGTTTAGCACAGCACACGGGGGACTCGCCAAGTGGGTGGTTCAGTTCAGGGGCAGCTCATAGGCTGGTAAAACAGTCTTCATGGGCCACATCCGGCCCTTGGGCCACATGTTGCCGACCCCTGGGTATAATACAGAATAAAATAGCTCTCTTTGCTTTGGTTTTTTCTTAAATGTTTGGTTTGAAACCAACAGGTAAGCAGTGGTAAGGTGAGCCTTGAGACATGCAAACTGGGGTTCTTGCAAGGAGGGTTTTCCATGCTTTGCATTAGAGGAAGAAACGCTAACCTAGAAGCCTTTTTCTGACCGAGAGTGAATCGGATGATTTTGCTTTGAGATGAGTCCCTGGGTGATGCACTGCACAACAAGAAAGAAAAAAAGTGGAAGATGTGAGTAAAGAAGATACATTCGCACATGAACCCACTGAGCTGACAAAGGCGTGGGGTTTTTTTTGGAACGAGATTAATCCAAGTGTTTCAGAAGGGAAAAACAATCCCTCTCAGCCAAATAAAACATTCAGGTGTAGTACCTTTGGATTTATCAAAGCAGCAATAGTAAGAGGCAACAGTATGCATGCAAGCAAATTTACTTCAGGGTCATGTGAATGAACTTTCATAAGAAAATGCTGTCTATATGCACATTTCTGAATTTGAAAAATATCCATGGTATGATCTGATGTTCACCATGTCGAAGAGCACATTTTGGTCAAGCAGACTTTCCTTTAGTTTAGTTTTTGTCGTGGTGATAAATACCATATTTCACCACATGAGGGTGTGTTCCAATGAAAGCTTTCACCTTGTAAAAGGGATGAAATTATTTATTTTCAAATACCATGAAAAAGATACAAAAAGTAATGCAAGACTCAGGCTTAAATGGTACATTTATAGTTCAACATTTATGATCTCCACATTCAAAATGTATATAAAATATTTATCATCTGGGTTTTAATTCTGAGGAAAACAAAATTCAACCAGCCAAGATTCAGTGATAGCAATTTTGTTACAAAATGAAAAAGTAAATATTCAAAAAGTTTTGATTTTTGATTCAGCTATATAATTGGGTTGAATTTAAGTCTGCAAATAATTTTTAAGGGCTATAAAAGGGTTTTATAGCTCAGTTTAAAATTTGACAGAGATCATATATACTGTTATGTTGAAAAATATGCAAACTGTGTCATGTATGGATATATTAAGATTTCTATATGAACACATGCTTTGAAGGTATTATGGAAGGTTATTCTGCAGAGAGGCTATTTCAAATAAACCAGAAAATATTATGTTCCCCAATTCATTAGGGTTGATCAAAAGAACTGAGGTCTGGATCTGATTTAACCACAATCTCTGTACTGGATCACAAGAAAAGACAAAAGAGAGACAGCAGAAGGCATCTATTTAAGAGCAGTTTTTTGGGGGGTGTGTGCATGAATTGGCTCAAGGGAAGGATCTGACCAGTATCATTTTTTTTCAAAGATCCACCTTGCCAGAGTTGCTATTAAAAGACAGGTGCTTGTTTCTCCTAAATAGTAAAGCTAACAGGAATGGGGAGGGCAGGAGGAGGATTTCAAGTAGGAGGTGGCATGTAGGAGAAAGATTAAATTGCTCCTCCCTTGAGCCAATTTGCCCCTGTGCTGCTTTTACGCTTTAAAGGAGACCCAGTCATGGATCTCCCACATCAAATGTATTTTGGGTCTACAAGTACATTGGTACACCTTAAGCATCACAAATGGAGTATAGCACATGTAGCTGAATGGAGACTGAAGAATCAGAATATGAACTCTCCAATCAATCATTAGCCTGCAACCACACTGAATTTACACATAGCCAATCCAATTCAGCTGGGGGTCATGTGGTTCTGGAAGAAGGATTCAGCACCTGTATCCCAAGGAATGAGGAAATCTGTGTGCACAGAGCTGCTGCAGACACAGTTCCTTTAATAAAACAGGAATTGCACAGCTAGCTGTTTAAGAGGAGGAGTGCAGGGACTCGATTGAGCAATGCCTGCTCCCACATCCACACCAAAGCACTCAGCAGTGTACACTGGCCTTTCTAACTTCTATTTTTAGGATGTTTTCTTTTGTTCCACCTCTATCTGATGCATGCATTTTAAAAAATTGACCGAAATTCCAAATCCATTACCCAGGTGAAAAAGAAATAGAGCTACTTCATGTTAGCTACAGTTATTTCCAGGCGCAAAGATTTCAAAGTAAGATGCTATTTTAGCATCCGTGAAACACTTGACATTTTAAAACAAAAAGAAGATTTTGAAAAGGAACACCCACCTGGACTGCATTTCTGGTTGTGCTTTTAACTGAGGATGTGGTGCTTGCTGGGGTTGTTGGCACTGAGACTGGGGTGATGCTGGCACAGATTGTGGTGGTTGCTGCTGCTGCTGCTGTTCTTGTTGGATTTGCTGTTCTTGCAGCCCAAATTGGCACTGGGGTGGAGGCCTTACTTGCTGGGGTGATGTGGGAGGTTGCTGGGATGGGTGGGGCTGTGAATATTGTTTAGGGGGCTGCTGTTGCTGCTGCTTATATCGTGACAGACTGAAGAAAAGGCCTAAGATAGCCTTTAAATTCCCATTCCTGATTTCTGCAAGACAAATCACAAGTCATTTATATCAGCATCCAATGCACTTTATACATTCAGTAGAGTTGCTTGTTTAAGCCTTAACACTATTCATAGTACTACTGACAGCTCCCTGCAAACCTAATTGCTGTCACAATTGATTAAAACTGGGCATCATCTGCTGAGCAAATTAGTTATTTCTCCCCTGCAGAAACTAAATGCAGACAGGGAGCTTGGTACTATGGCAGAGAAGATTTAGTGAGCTAGGCATCCATCAGCACTAAAGTGCACAATGGAACCTGTCATGCCTATGGCAGATCTATTCCTTAATCCAGACCAGGATTCCAGAATGCTCTGGGCTAAACATAGTCTACTTCATTCCAGGACTTCCAGAGAATTCTGCAAGGAAGAATCGTAGTTTGCATGTAACCATAAGAAAAGAACTCTGAAATAAACCTCTCCGTCTAGCAAGCATAGTCTGAGTCCAGGTTCTTATTTCTAAGACTCCCAGGCCTCTAAGCACAATATGACCTACTGCAGGGGAAGGGGGAAGATATATATTTCACTTTCCTTGGCTACTTCTGAAGACATGTCAATCCCCATGCAAGCACATTTCAGGATCATGGCAAACACTTCTCAGTTAAAGAAAAACCAAGAATAATATACTGTTAGGCTGCATTCACATGGTAGTTTATTCCATTTTCATGATGTTTTGCTAACTCTTAATTTTCATATTATATTTGAGCTTTCATATGATTGTTCCAGAACAATAGTGGAAATGGAGTGGAGTGGAGAATGCAATGCTAATAACCAATCCCAAGGATGAAGGTCTACCAGGCTTGCATGTTGAGCATGCTGCTTTATGGAAGAGAGTCATGGGCAATTTATACCTGCCAGGAGTGATGCCTCAATACCTTTCATATGTGCTGCATCATGAAGAATTTGGCATCCCATGGCAGGACAGAGTCTCACACAAAGATGTGCTCTCCCAAGTCCACATTACCAGCATGTTTGTACTTGAGTCTCAGCAATGTCTTGGTCATGCCCATAGAATAAAGATGGCAGGATCCCCAAGGCCGTGCTCTACAGCGAGCTGGCTTTAGGCACCAGACCCACTGGCAGGCTAACTCTGCATTACAAAGATGTCTGCAAACGTGGCATGAAGACTGACAACGTTAATCGTGCCGTGTGGGAATCCCTTGCAGATAACCTATCAGTGCCCATGGCAGCTGTACATATAGTGACTGGCCATGTGAAGTGGCCTTTTGTTGCCACAGGGTCAATCAGGATTCGTAATTTGCATGAGGGAAGACTGCATAATTCGCATAGCCACCAAACACTTGGCTGGTGAGAGAGGCAAGATTATCCTATTGGTTTAGCATGCACAGGGCTAGCTAGCTGGTGAGACTCCACAAACCCTCTCGTGTGCTTTCAGTGAGGAAGTTCATGTGGACCCACCCTACGACATTGTGGCCAGAATAACTAGATGAGTGCCAATTAAGTTCTAATACAATTCATGTCCCAGTAACATGCATCTTCTGATAGCGATACAGGTAACACACCCTAAAAATTAAGCCCAAGCCCAACGAATGGCATAGCAAAACATTACTGGACTTTGTAGAGTGCTGGTTTAAAAGTAAGCCATAAACTAGGTTTCAAATAATCGCTACAGATGCATTTCCTGTTAAGTTATCTCAGGAGATGGGCTGAGGTAATTCACCTGGCGCTATGCCACTGGACTTTGCACATAGAGGGCACATCAAACTCTTTGTTTTTTGCCGACTAGTACAGTCTGAATTACTTCCTCTTGCTGCTCCCTTCTGTCCTGTGTGTCTGTTTAAATATATACACATAGGTTTTGTCGGTGTGAGTCTGTAGCCCAGTCATTTCCATTTTGGCCACAAAAAAGGGTATTTTTAAAAACTGAAAACAAAATACTGCCAGATGTTCTGGGGTGTTTTAGGGCAGGGAGGGTTTCTTTTTTCAGTCTGGTGTTTGGAAGCTTCCATGCTGTGAGGTTTCTGTTGTCTGGGATGCCTTGATCTCCTTTACTTCAGTTTTTTATATTATTTCTCTTCTTCTTTTCCCCTTGTGACACAAACCACTCAAATCACAATTGGGAGCAAAAGAAGCCACACAGAAAGTTAGCTGAAGAGGCTCAGTACTAAGCAAGGAGGAGGAGGAGGAGGAGGAGGAGGAGGAGGAAGAGGAGAAGAAGCAGCAGCAGCATGGAGGAACAGACTTGCATGTGAAAATGTGCTTTCCTGGCAGGACTTTCATATAATTTCATATCAACAACATAATGCTTTTCAATGGAGTCACTCAGCTGCGATTCAACAAATTTTGATGATGTAAAGGCATGTGTGAACCAGCCCTTAACTGGAAGAAACCCTTTCTGGAAAAACTCAAAAGCTATAATGTCCTTGTACAGGGAAAAACAAAAAAAATGACTTGTTGAATTTCTGGGCTCCCCTTGTTTTGGATTTGAAAGTCATATTTTGTATGTACAGTACTTGTCTGCCACTTAGTGCTCTTACTTTAAACATAAATATAATTCAGCCTGAGAGTGGAAGACAGAAAGAAAAAGTATAATTATCCCATTGGCATAAGCAGCTGGGATTCCCTCCATGCTCAGTGTTCTTGTTTAGAGCCAGGAGATTCCATTTGCTGGCAACCGGGATTCTCCTACCCAGGGAATGAGGGAATCTTTCCCATGTCAGCCGAGAGTTGATCTGTTGATCTTCCATTTAAGCATTCTGGCAGCTGACATGTATAAATGTGCTCTCAAAGCAGCAGTGTGAACTCAAGGAAATTGTGGCAGCTTTTGCTGTCAAGGTAAACCTTATTCGCAAGTAAAAATGCATACAAAACTCACACAATCTGTCTTTCACATAAATGACCAAGAATAAAACAGGCTCACCTGTATTTGCAAATCCAACTGCTAATTTTGAGAATAGTGAGGAGGGGTAAGAGAAAGCGTTCAGCGGCAGATTTAACTGCCATTTATTGAAGTGGCTAACTCCTGCTTCCGCTTGCAAACATGCAAGTGAAGGTAAAATAGCAACTCAGAGCTGTGATGAACATACAAATAGCTTCGCCACGCAGCCCAATCAAGGATCACCTTTTGTGTGCACAATGACTCTGATGCAAACAAGAGTTTCCCTATTGACCTCATAGCACCAGGAACAGCTCAACGTGTCTATCCCAAGTGAATATCAGGAGTTGCCCACAGAGCTTGGATAAGAGCCAGACAACATACAGCTTGTTTTTAATTAAGCAGGCATGAAACATACCTAATTAATGATTATGCCATGAAGGAGTTTAAACAATTACAGTCTGAGCATTGGATTATTTTATATCAGCACCTTTAAGACATATGACCTCTATAGATAAATTAACCACAAAGCACAATTCATTGCCTGAATCTGGTTTGGCCAACTGAGTGCACACAAATCAGTCAAAGTCAAAATTGTGTCACCCTAATGATAAACAAGCTAACTTCTATTTATACTTTACACCTAGTATTAGGTGAAACAGATACACTGCTATCTTGAACTCTAATAGACTTGAATGCAGGTTACGATATAAAATATTTATTCACACTGACGGTGGTTATTATTATTTTTTGTCATCATCGTAATCTATAAGACTGTCCTGTAGCTCCACTAATCTTGTTGCTATATAAATACTACAAATACGGACTCACCTTCTGCAGACAGTCCCTGTATGTTTATTCCTTTGGCAGCCAAAAAACTCAGGCACGCATCTATATTTTCAATCTTAAAAAGAGAAAAATAGGGAGAAAGAGATAGGGGATGAGAGATAAATGAAAATGCATTACTGCACCCTGTGGACTTCATTCTACTATTCATGTGAAATCAACTTGTCAGGCAGAAGTTCATGTCAAAATCCTCTGCTTAATACTTTACGTTATTATTTATTACAATTATAACCCTCCTTTTCTCCCAAGGAGCTACACCAACATGACACCTTCTGAGCAGGCCATAGTGAATTGCTTATGTTTGTGCAGACCACAATACCTTATGCTCTTATCACTCACATAATAGAAAGACAATGCAGACCTGCCCTTAACTTGTATTAGATACCACAGGGAGAATAAGCCCCATGGGAAGTGGTTTGTGTGACACAGTTCCACATGTGGTTCGGGTGGTTCAGGTAACAAAATCTTTATTTGGGGGAACCTTTTTATGACATGGTTAAGATTGCCTCGACCAAATAAGGATCTCTCTCTCAGACACACATATGCCTGCCAACTGATTTAGAGCCAGTTTGTTCCCAGCTGTGCCACGCTACCAGCCCAATATACAAATGGGTCCCAAGAGTAACTTTTCCAATGTTTCTTGTCACTGTCTGCTGAAAATAAACACGGGGCACCATATTTGTTTGATGTGATGAAAGTTTCTCATTTACTCCTAAGTGGGACAACTGGCAGAAATTTCTAGTCATGGAGGCAGTAGAATTCAAAAATGGAAACTAGAAACCTCAACTGGAATCCAGAGCATGTTTACTCACATCATTCTCTAAATGGTATGAATAGCAGCTGATTACTGAAGGCAACGGCTGTTTCTCATGGTGAGTCTCTTCTTCATTTAAAATAAAGAGAACTACAATATGGGCTATGCAGATACAGTGGTACCTCGGGTTACATATGCTTCAGGTTACATACGCTTCAGGTTACAGACTCCGTTAACCCAGAAATATTGCTTCAGGTTAAGAACTTTGGTTCAGAATGAGAACAGAAATTGTGCTCTGGTGGCGTGGCAGCAGCAGGAGGCCCCATTAGCTAAAGTGGTGCTTCAGGTTAAGAACAGTTTCAGGTTAAGTACGGACCTCCGGAACGAATTAAGTACTTAACCCGAGGTACCACTGTATTCAGAATTTCTTTCAATGTGACTAGAGCATGGGAGTATTATCACTATAAACTTCATTTGGCCAGAAAAATCATTATGGGGGTAACATTCCCTTCCCCAGCAATCCTAATGTAAAATTATTTCTCTCTGTCCTCTTATTTAAAGGCACACCAGCTCCAAGTTCAATTACCACCAGGTATCTAAGTAAAAACTGAAAGTATTGCTTTTGAGACTAAAGAAGAGCTATCCCTCTCTTCTCTCCCCCTGCAAAAAATATCTCTGGGTTTTCTAATTTATATGGCCTGGTCAAGACACGCAGAAGAAGGAAATAGTAGAATCCTGAGGTGACAAAAGTGAGCTATGCCACTTCAGGCTGAAGAAGGGGAGCACCATTTTTAATGCTCCTGCATGGAAACCAACAACCCCCCAGAGCAAAACCCAAGACCCTATGATTAATGTTTTTAACCTAGCCTGTTCCTATTGTGCTGGATTTCTTTTTGCAGGAGGTTTTTGTTTTCTTAACACAAGAAATGTGATTGCCTAACTGCAGTTGGTATAATCCATTCTACCAGGTGAGAATTCTACTACCTTATTCTTACCTCATTATGCTGTGTGTGTAAACCAGGCCTATATTATGCAGGAGAAACTTCCGCCACTTCTAACTGCAAGTAAGGGAACCGGTTTTGAAACTAATCCTCCATATAAAAAGCTCATTATGTATAGTAAAATAGCACACACAATAAATATGTTTACCCTAATATTATAAAACATTTTAGTATATGACCACAATATGGATAGTATCATATAGTTTAATCAGTAGGTGGTACTGGAGTTATATCTGGGTGGAGTGTGAAGTTTCCTGTAAATGTTCTTGTTTAATGCACAAAAGAGTTATTGGCTATGTACACACTTCAGTTTACTCTGCATCCTGTATGCTACCACTGCTGGTTTGGGAAGCAGTGTACATGCAACATTAGCCACAATCCATATCTATTCTGTTTTTTACTTATGAAACACTGCATATTGATGAATTTCCCCCCAAACCAGCTTTGATCCAAATTAAGAAAAGGAATGTCTGAGCGGCATTTTATGCCTGTAATGTGACTCAGTCCTTGCCTTGCTATGTGACAGTCTTCATCCAAATCTTCAATGACAAACACCATACATCTGTAGTCCATCATTTATTCTGCACATTCATACTAAAACACACACTTTCAATTTTACTATACAGGGCTTGATGTTTTACTGTACACACACACAGTGCTTTTTTCTGGGGGGACACAGGGGTACACATACCCCTAAACATTTTGTGGATCTAAGTTTGGCCTCACTGAGGGACAGTATTTCAATATGAATAGGAAAATGAGAGTACCCCTAAACATTTATTTAAGAAAAAAACACTGTGTGTGTGTGTGTGTGTGTGTGTGTGTGTGAGAGAGAGAGAGAGAGAGAGAGAGAGAGAGAGAGAGAGAGAGCTACAACTAAAACTATATTTGGTCACATATCGTTTAATACCAAACCTGCCTTGCTGCAAAGTGCACATAATGTAGGCTTAAACAGCAGCCAATAAAGATCTGAGCTGGAAAAAGCATAAGTAGTAAAATCTTTCTAGCTTAGTAAGCATGTCTGGTAAATGTCACTAATCACAGCAGAGAGAAGACTTAAAAAACGGTTTGTGTAGCCTCTTCTTGGCCATCAGTTAGCACATCTAGAGTTAAGATACACTGTTCAATCTATTCTTTCACCTCAGTTACCATTGTCTAAGTCTGACAAATATGAAAAGTGAAGAAACCAGGAAGAGAGAGTGTGCAGAAGGTTGCATATGTTTCAAGTAATGGGCATTAAACAAAGTATCCACGTGGGAGTCCGGAAATGCAACTAGGCATGCCCTATTTCCTTGCACAGTCACAGCTGATTTCAGGGCATCAAAATTGTTATTAAGACCCAAAATCCACTATGAAGCATGAAGGAACCAGAAAGGTTCGTTCTGTAGTGGCTTCCTGCATCCTGCAACCCTCCATTGTCAGAATCCTATGCAGCTGATATACAAGTCCCATTCTCTGGCTTCCAAGTGCCCAGCATGAAATCTAGTAAGTTGCATACCCTTAACAAATGATGTAGGACACTGTGGACCATCTTGGGTGTGAGTCCTGAAAGACCTGGCTCCCTGCCTTGCAGGCCTTTTCCACCTGGCCTGAGACAGTGGGGACCTTGACTCAGCTACGAAAACTGAGGCTGTTGAACAGACACTTGGGTTGGGGTATTATTTAAGGAGTTTCTGTTGAGAGGAGGGTTGTTGCTATTATTGAAAATATTTTTTTGGTATTTTTATTTTTAGATCTTATTATGATTTAGTGTGGAAATTGTTGATTTGGTTGTGTACCTTTTGATGCGTTGTTTTTATTTTTTATGACTATTTTTGTTATATTTGCAAATTATGAGATTTTTTTCATGTTAAGCATGATCTGAATTATGGAAAGGCGGCATGCAAAGAAAATGTGTGTGTGTGTGTGTGTGTGTGTGTGTGTGTGTGTGTGTATGAGATCCTAACCCAACAGGACACCATCATGTGCAGTTGGTCCTCTGACCCAAAGTTTTTTTAAAAAAGAACTTTTGTACTCATTTCAGAAAGCAATTAGAGCTAGTTCACAAACCCTGCCAGTAGCCATTTATTAAAGACTTGATGTCAGATCAGACAGAAAATAAGCCAGCACCCATAGAAGAAAGGGAAGGATCTATCCCTTTTACCCTCTTCAAATATATGATTCGTTCTACCATTGCTGAATACAGTACTGTGCATGTTTCACCAATCCAGCAAGAGGAACATGCTTGCAGTTGTAGATATTTGGCAGGAATACAACAAAGAACACCCCGAATATATATCCTACTGGAGATAAAGGAACCCAGAGAGATGCAGCCTTTGATGAATTGGGGAGATCATACTTTTAAAATGTGTGTGAAAGAGTTTGCCCCATGATACATATGAAAGATCTTAACATTAAAAAAACCAAAACCCTAAACTTTAAACATCATTCAACCTTGGCTGGAAGCCAAAATGAAGCACTAAAAATTCAGGTGGGTTATTTACTAAGGCAAGCATCTTGACAGTGCAGATATTTCTATTAAAAACAAAAGTATTGAGGTTAAAAGTTTACTGATGTTAAGTGGAATTTTAAATAAGGCCCACAAGACTCATTGTCCTCCTACATAATTCTATTTTGATGCCCCTTTATTAATACAACTTGAATGCTAGTTCCTGATGGCCACCAGCATGTTTCTTCCAGGAAATCTGTTTTGATTCATAACATTTGAGTGGAGCCCCAAAATATTTTACAAATCACAAAAGGGCAGGACATCACTGAATGTTTGTACCGTATCTTAGAGACAGGAAAAATACCATCTGTTGTGGCAGTTGTCATGGTATCATTTTCCTAGGAATACTTAACACGACAACTTCATGTAAATTATCCATGCTAGCAGGATAGGACATGGAGAGAGAGAGAGAGAGAGCCATACCATTGTCTCAAGCTACATCCAGCATTTCAGGTACAACAGTGAAAATGCAAAGTATATAAAAAGACTTGAAATCATAACAGCAGCACTAAAGTGTAGGTGCCTGGAATATTAGTTTTCTTTGGACACCTTTACTTTTTACCAATAAAACCAACAAAAAGCATTAAACAGATCGTCCATTAGCAAGTTCTTTACCAATCACTTCTTAAAACATTGTTGATACAGCTTTTTTAAAACCTGAGTGCCACTTTAAGGTACAACAAAGAACACAACTCAGATTTGCTGAAACAAATATGCAGTTTTACACCTGGGTAAAAGCTGGTTTGGCAAGCTCCTTTTGGACTGGATTCTACAGAGAAGGTGCCATTATGGAGTAGGCCAAATTCTCTGCCACA